TAAGCACACACATGAGGTGACTGTACACAACAAGCAAATTTTAATTCCTTTAGAAGTCAAATAAGCTTCACATTCACCTTCAGATTACGATCCCTGCAATAAATTCTGGTACACTACCCACAAGAAACCAGGTTATACTTCAGTAGAGGGATAAATAAAAATAAAGCACTCAACACTGTTAAGATACCTACCAGTCATTCTAGCAGTCCTAAAGGTGCTCAAATTTTAATGTGCATAAAAATCATGTGGGGAATCTTGTTAAAAACACAGTTTCTGAATCAGCAGTACTTCGATGAAGCCTTAAATTTCTATTGAGCTCCAAGATAATGCTTATATTGCTGGTCTATAGACCACAACAAAGCATACTTAAGACTTCACACTCTTTGTTTCTATGATACCAGTTAAGATAATGAATAAAAACTTAAAGCACCACCTCATTTAATAAAAACTTAAAGCACCACCTCATTTAATAATTTTTATGGTCACACAAGAATAATCAAGAAAGGATGGTTATTAAAATATTGATGTCTGGGGAAAACAGGTAGCTTCTCAAAGGTAGGAACCTAACAGAGTTATAATAACAAGAGCAAACAACTACAGAGCACTTACTATGTGCCCATAAATCTTAAATATTTCACGTGGATAATAGTTTTGATTCTATAACAGTGTGCAATAGGGATTACTGCTAGACATATTTTACAGAAGCTAAACCTGAGTCGCAAAGACATTACTTAGGCTACACGTAGGTAATAAATGGCAGGATTTGAACCCAGGCAGTCTGGTTCCAGAGTCCACACTTTTAATAATTATAATAAAGTATATCTGTCAAGAAAACAGCAGAGGCGAAACTAAAATGGCAAATTGAAATGACTTACTTTTGGAGAAAATGATGCAAGTGTTAAAGTGTGAAGCATTAAAAAAAGAACAGTGAGCAAAAAAGCCCAAGTCAGAGGTTTTCTTCAGGTGACGTAATGCAAGCAGGTGAATAACACAACCTAACAATATACAGTTTTTTGCTCTATTAGAAACTGTTCCCAACTTCAGCACAATAACTAAATATTTGAGGGAAAAAAATCTCTGTCAAATATAGTTTTTTAATGGGACACTATTTGGGTAGTTAAACACCTGACAGTTTGAGAACAACATCCCAGGGGTGACTGCTGAGAAAGAGGTTGACATTCAGAATTTATAATAGCTGCAGTGGCAGACACAGCTGAAATGAACAAGTTAAGAAAACCACCTTAGCAAAAATATTTTGGGCTGAAGGGGAACTGAAAGTAGAAACTGGTTAAGGAACAAAGCATAACATGACCAGGAATTTGACACTGCTGAGCACTGAGGAAGAAGGAGCAAAAATAAGTTGCTATTTGCAAACAAAGAAGTAGAGAATACAAACATTAAGGTCTGAATAATTTCTAGGAGATTAAGAACTGGTCATCAGACAAGGCTCTCTAAGGAGTGTAAACTGTCCAAACGGTACAGCGGCAGAAGACACGGGACCAAACAGAGGGACAAGGTCGAGCAGGACTAGACCAGTGCTCATCATCTCAGTGAGCGCAAGTAAGGATACCGCTGACTAGACAGACTGAAAAGGAGTCCAGGAAACAGTCCACCGTGGGTCTAGGGAAAATGCAGAAAGTGTTAACGCTCAGACATCATCAAATTATCCATCTGACAAACTTGTCTTGATACCCACTATGTGTTCAGCACTATTCTAGGTGCCACAGATGGGTGACCATGCCAATTAAAACCCTGCCCTCATGGCACGTACATTCTAGAGGGGGAAACTAATATGCTTGAAAAAGAACGCTAAATAAGGAATCAACACAAAAGCCTAGAAGAGTCTTTTAATGTAGGATATACAGATCCATTTATAGGACATAAGTTAAAATAATTACCTCCACTCCTCACTACATGTTCCTTATCCTCTCAGAAAAAGACAAAACCTAAAACAAAGAAATGCATTTAAAATGTACCTATAGAGGGGCCTCCCTGGTGGCGCAGGGGATTAAGACACAATTTATGAAGCTATCCGCAGCCACTACACCACAAGTTCAATCTGGGGCCAGGGAGCTGACCCACATGGCGCAGCAGATCTCTCTTGACTCACCCACTGATCCCCTCAGCAGTGTATTTCAGTCACTCTGCCTGTTGTGTTCCCCACTTAATCCTCTCACCCCACACCTTTGGCCTGTACCCCAGCTCTTGTATCCATAAATAAATTTTTTAAAATAAAATAAAATGTACCTATGGGGGGCCTCCCCAGTGGCGCAGAGCGTTGAGCACAGCGCTGTGAAGCTGTCCACAGCCTCTGCAGCGTGGGTTCGATTCCCGGCCAGCCAGAGAGAATCCCACATGGTGAGGCAGACCTCTCCTGTCTCGCCTGCTGCTCCCCTCAGCAGTGTATTTCAGTCAGTCGGCCTGTTCTGCTCCCTGCTCTGTCTCTGGTGAATCCTCTCACCCCCTGCATCTCTGGCCTGTACCCAGCTCTTGTATGCAAAAATAAATAAATCTTTTAATAATAAAATAATAAAAAAATAAAATTTTTAAAATGCACCTATAAATAAATGCACAATTTGACATTTACTTCCAAAAATGCCTGTCACTAATATCCCAGGAGCAATGTAAACTGTACTTCGAAGTTATCCAAATGTGACAGCTCTTGGATCAAAACATTTTATTGGTGTAGCCATTTTGAAAATAAGCAGAAATGGTTTTTAATAGACTATAAAATTACAAGAAAAAGAATCCTAATAAATGATAGCAAACCTTAAGTTACAGAATGCTTGATAAGCTTTAAGAATCTCACGTTTCCTTTATGCCCTGACTTAGATTCCAAAAAAAATTAAGTTTAACTGAACACAGATGCTGATTATATGAAAACATTTTAGGAGGCTATGATACCTTTCAGATCTTTAAGAGATTACTGAAAAAGAGCTCATTTTTTAATGGTGAGTTAATTACCAGCATCTTATCTCCTTGTCTCAGTCTAAAACTGGTAAATTCTAACTCTTCTGCTGTATTGTAAAAGTAAAAAATGCAAGTGGTATATAAGCTTCTAAAGATACAAGACTCAAGAAGTAAGGTAGCAGCTAAGTATTACATTTTTATTTCTTGAACAAAGATACCACATTATGGCAAACAAATGTACTTCAGAAGAGCCAAGTTCCACACCTATCCAATCATCTACACCTACACACTACAAAAAGCTGATTTAAACCGACCTACTGCTTTTAAAGTGTTTCTTAACAAGAAATCTGTTCTCTCTACAAATGAGAAACAATAGGAAAGTACCTGCTCCAACAAGAGCTAGCCTTATAACGATGCATTACACAATTGGATCTCATTCGTCTCAGAACGCTAACATTTTCCTGTGCGACTGTATTCTGTAGTCAAGGAAGAGCACACAATTTAGGATGGACCTAACATTCTGAGGAACAAATACTGTGGACCCCCCCCCCCAAAAGTCCGAAGATGTTACTCAAGTTTTGTTGGTTAAAAATCCAAAACCTGTTATGAACTACAAAAGTAAAGTGTCTAGCAAGCAAAGACTAGGCGAAAAATGAACGAATTTCACCACACCTTTGCCCCAAAAAACGCACATCAGTCCATTTAGGCCACAGTCTGCATCAGTCAGCGTGATATGGAAGAAGTCAAACCGTCTGGGGAAGTCCTTTTGCACCAAAGCAATGCTGCCACTAATAAATTCACTTCATTCGAGCAACAAAGGGATCTTTAAAAGTTACTGCTTACTCGAGTGGCTGTAAAAGGGGCTGTCTTACGTTTCTTCCCCAGCACAAGCTAATCTTGAGATATTTCACATTCCCGGCTTCGAGATGCATCTGAGCCGGCTGGGGTTCCAAAATCTCACCCTTGAATACCTTTCGCTGCAAAGCAGGCAGGGTAAGACCAGCCGGTGACCAACCCAGGCTGCAAAACGCGATTTGAATTTTGGTGAGTCCCTGACTTGTAGGAGTTAAAACTCTCACCCCTTATATTGCGATGACGTAATCTTCCACCCTGCATTTCTCTCGGACTTAAAGGGGAGGAAAAAACAAGCGAACAAAGAAAATTTCCCCCTCATAAGAGGAATTAGGCAAGCGGCGGAACGACAGTTTCGCGAGGTGCTTAGGTAACTCCCCGAAAGGGAAGCTTCGGCTGACCAGGCAGGGCGCGCTGGAGAAGCGAAGGGCACGGGCGCAGGACTCGCGCGAGGCAGGAATAAAGGAGACCGGAGACGCCGCGGCCAGACCCCACGGCCGGCCGGCCCGGCGTCGGGCTGCGGAGCCGCAGAGCGCCGCGCGTCGCAGGCAGGGCCCGGGGCGGTCTGCGGCCGCGGTCGCCCCCGCCCCCCCCGGCGCCCCCGCCCCCGCCCCGCGGCCCCCCGCCCCCCCCGCCACTTCCCCGCCGCGCTCGCGATTCCGCTCCCCTCCCCCGCCCGCCGCAAAATGTCCGCGGCGCCGCCGGGCGAAGCAGGAAGTCGAAGCCAGAGCGCAACGGGCAGCCCCAGCCCCGGCGCCCCGGCCCCCCACACCCCGCTCGCCGCGGGCGCCCGCGAGCGCCCCGCGGCCCAGGGAGCCCCGGCCCGCCGCCCGCCCCCCGCACACCCCGGGCCCGCGGGGCCGGGCCGGGCCGGGGGGAGGGGAGTCCCGGCGGCGGGATGGGTGTGACCCCTTCCTTCCGCCGCCGCCCGGTGACAGCCCGGCCCCGCCCGCGCCCTCACACCGGCACCCCGCGCCCGGGCCGCGCACCCCTCGGCCGACGGGCGCCCCTCGCCCTCACCCCGAGAACCCCAGCCCTCGGTTCCCCTCAGAGCCCGGACCCGCGCGAGCCAGGACGGCGCCGCGCGAGCCGGCACTCCCCCGCGCCTCGCGCTCCCAGGCGCCCCGGAGCCCCACAGGCCGGGGGTCCTCGCGGACAGGGAGAGGCGGGGGGCGGCGCGGCGGGGACGGGACGGCGGGGGAACCGCTCCCGCGGGGAGCCTCGGGCCCCGCACTCACCTCAGCTTCTCCGCCGGGGCGTTGGCAGCACTGCGCGGGGTCTCCTCGGCTGCCGGACAGGGGCACGCGCCTGACGTCAGCACGCAGGGCGCGCGGTTGGGTACCCGCGGAAGTGGGCGGGGCCAGGAGGCGAGGAGAGGCGGGGCGACGAGAGGCGGGGCCTGCAGCCTCCCTAGGCCCAGCTCCGCCCGCCTGTCGCGCAAGCGCCCACCTGTGCGTCTCGCTGGTTCGAGACTGAGCTTGGCGACTCCTTTTCCAAAGGTGGTATTTGTAACATTCTGAACAGGTGTTTGCAGAGCGCGTCCATTAATATTTCCTTTGATCCTTGCAACCTTATGAAGCAGAGTATTATCATTCCTATTTTACAGAAATTTCTCAAAGAGAAACAGTGACTTGCCCAAGATCTCACTGCAAGTGCATGGCCTCCTGACTCCCCAGGCCTGTGCCCTGCTTCTCTCTACCTATGCTCCAGCCCCACGGGCCTTCTTTTGACTTAGAGACTTCCTCCACACCGCAAGCCCTTGCACGTCCTGTTTCCTCTACTCTTTTCTGCACCAGACCTTCGGTTGACTTTCAGCCCACAAAGTCACGGCCTTCCTGATCACCCTTTCCTCACAGTACCTGGTCATCAATGTTTTCCGTGCTAATGGCCAAGCTTCAGGAGAATAAGAACCTTCATTGTCTTGTCGTCAGATGGTTTGCAGGGTTAGAGGAAAATAACCATCTTCATAGTTCATTTTTTTGAAACTACCACAGCTATTTCACCAAGACACATTTCTAATATGTCTGATTTAATAATCATTTTCTTTTGGAATTTGAAATTATACAAGGAGAACAACTTCTGTTCTGAGTGTTTACTATACTGTAGGCATGGGGCTAAAGTAATACACTCATTCTATGAGTTAAGAACTCTTACCCACATTTATTGATGTCTCAACTAGGTTTAGAAGTGTTAAGGGACTTGCTCAAGGTCACCAAGCCCACCAGTGGCACAGTTGCAGGGCAGGGACTTGGACCCAGAGGCTGGTTCTAATTCACCACAACTCAAAAGGTTTTGGGGTTTTTTTTAATTTATTTATTTATGCATACAAGAACTGGGGTACAGGCCAGAAGTGCAGGGGGTGAGAGGATTCACCAGAGACAGAGTGGGGAACAGAACAGGCAGACTGACTGAAACACACTGCTGAGGGGACCAGCAGGAGAGACAGGAGAGATCTGCTGCTCCATGTTGGTAGCTCCCTGACCGGGAATCGAACTGGTGCTGCAGAGGCTGCAGATAGCTTCACTGTGCTGTGCTTAATCCCTTGAGCCACCAGGGAGGCCCTACCCAAGAAGTTTATTCTAGAGATAGGAGGTCATAAGCTGCAGCTATACTCCTACCCTTATGATACCAACAATTAACACTTTGGTTCATAACTTTGTAGATATACATATATATATTTGTCAGAAAAATACGTATTTGTTTATCTGCCTTTCTCTCTGAAAATTACATTGTGAACATCTTCCTATGTCAAATAAAGCATCATTTTTAAAGACTGCATTCTATGATGTGGGCATTACAATATTTACCTGATAAATCTCCTACGGTTGGAATTTAACCTGCTTTTGACTGTTGTTTAATGTTGGTTTCTTAAATGTAAGGGGAAATTGGTTATGTTTTCTCTCTTTGCAGGCCTAGTTAGCAGTGACCTTTCCTTCATCCTGTCTCACAAAATCAAGAATGTCCCCAGACAATGTCTGCCCTTTCCATCAACAGCAGTATCTTGATGGGGTGTTACCCAAATACTTGACTTTTCCTGCCTTTATTCTGAGGACAAGGAGTTAGTTAACACTTTATCTATGATGGTGTCAGGTTTTTGTCAGAAGGACCCTCCCCCACCTTTTCACGGCCCCAAAAGGCAGTAGCATTATTAGTTGGCCCCAATCTACCTCTCCTTTTGCTATTGGCCCAGACCCCGGCTTGCTAGTGCCCCATCTCCATTATCCCAAAGGCCAGCTGCCTCATTTTAACAAGAGGGGCAACCTGCAGTTCTCCAGCTCTTCATCCTCTGCGGTTACCAGCCCAGTGTCCATTCATCCTCCTTCTGGTAACAGCACTTCCTTTTCTCCTGGAGCAGCTTCTTCCCCAATTCTCAATCCCTGTGGTTCTAGAGATGGTGACTCTACCCCAGTTGCAAAGATAGATACATGATCATCATCAATCAGAACATTTTAGAGCGCTCTTACCAATGCATTTCAGTAGCGGGCACGTGACCCAATGAAAATCAATGAGATTCAATTCTGGGGCTTTGGTTAGAGCTGTCTGATTGAATATATCTATCTGCTGAGGGAAGGATGAAATCATGGCTTTGCAGTAGCCATCTTCCCTCTGGAAGGAGAGAGATTGCCTAATATGAGACCAAGACAGAGGGGAAAAACAGAACTGAGAGGTGGAGACAGAGAAACAAGTTCTGTTCACATTTTTTTGAGTCCTTGAATCCAGTCTTGTTTCAGTTTTCACTTAAAAAAAATTAAACAAAATCCAACTTTTAAAAAGTAAACAATTTTCAGTCACTTTAGTCAATAAATTCTCTATACCACTTGAGCCAGGATAAAAAGATTGTTGTCACAACTGCAAGATTCCATGAACTATTCTGACATCCCTGTCTCCCACGTCTGTCCCTGTCTGTCCTTGCCACCACCCTTTCTGTAGCTGACCCAAATCTCTACTCTTTCCACCCCAATTTCCAAATTTCCACATACTCAGAAGTCCCATCAGCACCACTGAAATTGTCTTCCAGTGTCCACCTGCTCCAGGTCCTGTACTTCCTGTATGTGCATTTGACTCTGCACCCTTTACATTCAAGGGCTCCCAACCTTGTCTACATCACAGATCCTGCACCCACAAAATTAGTATCCAATTTCTAGAGGCTTCCTTTAAAAGTCTCTTTTAGTTCATTTTGTGCCTCACAGTCTTCATCTTCCCAGTCCTCAGCTCTTAAGTCATTTCCCAGAGCAGGAACCCTTAGTATTTTCTTGTCTTCAAAATAAAATTCAAAGTCCTTTAACCAGACATTCTAGGTTCTCCTCTGGGACCTGGCACCCACCTGACTTTCTAAAATTATCTCCTTAAGTCCCAAGATCTACAGAGTGTGTTGGCAAGCTGTTGGTGTAGTTCCACCCCAAGTCTTGAGGCCTGAGAACCAGAAAAGCTGCTGTTTTAGTTGTAGTACAAAGACCAACAGGCTCGAGATTCAGCAAAATGCAAATCCAGGAAAATTTCTCCCTTACTTAAGGAAGGGTCAGTGTTTTCATTCTATTCAAGCCTTCAACTGATTGGATAAGGCCAAAAATCTGGTCACTGGCTGTCTCTGAAAGAGGTTGTGATCTGGAGGGGATGGGGCATTGCCAGAGGACAGTCTCGGTTACAATCTATTTCATGACCTGGGTGGTGATGACTTGAGTATTTGCTTTATAATTCTTGTTATTCTGTACGTTTGGTTCCTGTGTTTTTTCTCAAATATAGTATTTCATAAAAAGTTAGAAATGACTAAATAAAACTCAAATACAGTCTGACTGTTATTACTAAATGTGATGTTGTTGCCAAAATTCCTATCACTAAGACTCTTTCCCTGGTCATGACCCAGGGAAAGAGAAGCTAGAAGCCCCATTCAGCTGCTAGGACTTCATATGTTCTCCGGGTCTGGCCCTGCCTCACCATAAGGGGTGATGACTACTGCAGTTATATTTATTCCACCATCTCTGATTGAGGGACCCCCCCAAACACACACACACAGCCCCTTCTGCTGCTCAGTCCCCTTCCACACTTTGTGCCACAGCGTGACACTTCTCCAAGTACCTGGATCCTTCTTGGAGACAAGTGAAAGGAGAGAAACTAACCAAACCTGTTTCCTACTTGACTCTTCTCTAACTGGCCCAGGCTTGCCTCCATCTCTCTTACATATCTGGTGGAGATAATCTGGGTCATTGAAGAAGGATGAATGAGACTAGGTAGAGGAGAGAAAAGTCTAGAAGTAACTGAACAACTCCATCCCCATGAAGGAGGAACCCTACCATGTATACTTAGCATAACAATGAAACTTGAACTTGAAATGATCTAAGAACATTCTCCGGGGCCAAATGGCAAGCCCTGTTATAATCAATATTCAAATGTCAATGAGTATCTGTTATGTGCTAGGCACCTCAGAGACAAAAATGTGCTCTCTACTTAATCCCTTAAATGACTTATCCTGGGCTCTTTCGTCTGCGCCGCCAACAGGCCATCCAGACTGAGGAAGACCCAGAAACTTCAGGGCCATGTGAGCCGTGAGCCACTGCCACGGCTGTATCAGAAAGCACTAGAAGCACCCTGGAGGCCGAGGTAATGCTGGTGGCCTGCGTCATCACAGGATCAACTTTGACAAATATCACCCAGGTTACTTGGGGAAAGTTGGTATGAGGCATTACCACTGTAGGGTAAGGAAAAATGTCAGGCTTTTCTGCCCTCCCGCCATCAGGATAGATGATGGATCCTTGCGGTCCTGAATGCATGCCTGGAATAGGGTGTGGGCATAGGTAGATGGGATTCACCTGGGCTGAGACTGGACTTTTGAGAGCAGCGTCACGGGGACGCCAGCAGAAGCCAAGAGAGAAGCAGAGCCATAGGAAGAGCAGAGAGAATGTGAGAGAAGGCCCAAGAGCCCAGAGTGAAGACCTGCTGGGGGCTGGGAGGCCTGCCAGCCTACAGGTCCCCCAGCGCCCCTGCCTGCCGTGTACCTGGTAATCTCAATAAAAACCTGCAAAACCACTGAGGACTCTGACTCTTCCTTTACCCGGTCTGCTGGATCAGGAAACCTGCTCAGTGTCCAGTCATGCCCCTACTACCACTTAAAGAGGAATCAGAGCTTCTGCCCAACTGTCAACCATGATAAAATGTGGACCTTGGTCACTGAGCAGACTCAGGTAAATGCTGCCAAAAATAAGACCAGAGCTGCTCCCATCATTGATGTGGTGCGAGCGGGCTACTACAAAGTTCTGGGGAAGGGAATGCTTCCAAAGCAGCCTGTGATCCTCAAGGCCA